CTGTATCACACGATCCATTGTAATCACTATGAGTGAAATACAGAAATAAATCTCGGGCAATTTCCAGCTTGTTTTTATGCATCCGTTGCTTAGCGCTGGTGCTGTAATTTTTACTTATCTGGGTCGTTTTATTCTTCGCACATTCTGACCCACTTTATTCCAAAGCTCAATCGGTTTCGTCCGAATTCAGGGAATCCATAAAGTGACCTAGTGCGAAACACTGTTTTGGTTCCGATTAACGGCCTAAATGTTGCAGTCAATTTGACGGAGAATTTCCAGCTCACACATTCGATCCAATTTAATTCGGGAGCCCTGTGCCCCGGTTACCGATTCGCTAGACTAAACCATGCTGATTTCGCGCTCCAACTTAGTGATTCCGGACACGCCGATGGCCTATTTCCATCTGGGATCACAACACGGAATGCTCGAGTTGGTTGCTCTGGCCTCATATTCCGAGCTCCAAGGCCTGAATAAGTATAAATCGGTTAACTGGGGACTAACCGAGGCGTCTCAATTTGGCCGAGGCTAATGTTGCCTCCTAGTCATCTAGTTTTGGTCCAGGAGTTATCTCAAGCCTAGGATCGCAATTCCAGGGGGGAGTGGGTCCGGCGTATGCGACTGAACAACCCACGACCCAGTCTGTGACTCAGATACAATTGCGAGTCGACCGAGACATGTGAACAAGACTTAACTACGAATCTCGAAAGCAGGTGGGCTGGCGCCGTGAAAATATGCAAACTCAACACTGTTTCCTTGACATGTGTCTAAGGTCGAATCCAAATCCCGGGAAGCAACCGTGGTCGGTTCACCTGCGCCTCAAACTTGCATCGAGCCGCAAGTCGCTGCACTGGTAGGGGTTCGATTACAAGATCGGGATAGTCGGACGCCACTGTCGTGGCATTAGAGTCAAAGCCCAGTTCATTAGCTGCCCTGTTGGACCATCTGGCCCATATACTAAAATTATACCATGCTGTGACATCAATGCCGTAGCCGCCCTTCTCCAAATCAGCCATTGTGCGACTGGATAATATGGATGAGACGGCAGGGTTGCTACCAGAAGAACGAAAGCGTGCCGTCTACTCGATGACGACTATTAGTGTAAGTGCTCTTTGTAAGATTGATCCTGGCCAATGTCCATTTCATTTTATCACACTTGGTAGTATGCAAAAAGCCCGCCCGATTTCAGCTCGAGTAGTAGGGTAAGAAATTTCATTTAACAAAATGAGTTGTTCAACGTCTTCAGCAGCAGAGTGCTCACCCATAAAGGATCCCTTATTGAACGTCACCCATAACCCATAGCGAAATTTGGGCTATCGACAGGGCTATTTACGGGAGCAGATTAGTAGTTCAAAGGAAAAATTGACCATCAATCAACAAATAAAATCTAGCATGCGACAAACCAGTGGTAAAGGCAGGTTAAGTGAGACTGCGACACCTCACTCATTATTAGCAGACGATCAGGCATTTTTAAATTTCGCCTACAGGAAACTACGGGCGATAGTGACGGCGAACCTGAGTGACTATTGCTACGCTGGTGTATGGCATGGGAAACTTTACAGAAGGCCAAATCAAATGTGAGAAATGCGAATAGCGTAGGCACGATGCCTGAAAAAAACGAACGATGAGGACACTCAGAAGATACTATAGGGAGAAATTGGCGGTTGAGGAGAAAGCACAAAAATGCGAGAGGCAAGGTAAGATAAATTCGTAATAAATTCAAAAAGCCGGCCACGAATAGGAAGTTAGTTAAATACGAGATTTCCATTTTTAGCGCTTAGTAACAAATTTTCAAACTTGGCCACAAATTGATTTTGGTTCTGCCTTTTTATTAACAATTAATTTTTGGTAAGTCGTGATTTTGTTCACAGGCTTATTTTTACTATGATCCAATTATTATTAGGTGTACTATGAACTACTGGATTGTTTGTGAAATATATGCAATAATTTATGTCTACGAGATTTTAAATCCAATCACATTTGCATATGTAGTCCTGGGTTTTTACCTGATGCATTCATTGACGGCCTTTCAAGGCAAACACATTAACTGGATTGAACGGATATTTACTGAGTCTTTAATCAAAATAACTTCTATTTCGGCCTAGAAATAAATCGAATGCTCCGTATTTTTTATTCCTCGTATGCTCTTGACATACAAGTTGAGGAAGAAATGAAATCTAATCGAAGTATCTTCCTACTAGTGAAATGGGATCTAGTATACTCAATATTTTATAGGCAAACTATTTGTATCCTATAATTTTGCCTCCACTAAAATATTCTGATTTAGATTTTTTCTTTAGTATTTATTTTTTATGGACGCGAAGGAAAATGTTGAATCCCATACGTGCCCTAAGATCGAGCCCTCCATTAAACACATTTTTGCTCGCTGTATTTGAGCCGTTTTCATATCGTTGCTGCTCTATACAACTTTAGTCCAAGCCATCAATTTTTCTACCTTATGCTTTCATAATATATTGAATATGTACAAAGACCC